GGGGGAGGGAGTGGGAGAGGGAGAGGGAGAGAGACAGCGAGAGAGAGGGAGAGAGGGAGAGGGAGAGAGACAGCGAGAGAGAGGGAGAGAGGGAGAGGGAGAGAGACAGCGAGAGGGAGTGGGAGAGGGAGAGTGAGAGAGACAGCGAGAGAGAGGGAGAGAGGGGGAGAGATAGAGACAGTGAGAGGAGAGAGCCGAGTGGGGGAGAAAGCTGAATGGAAAGAGAGAGGGGAAAAGAGAGGCAAGTAGCGAGCGAGACAGAGAGAGAAAGAGTGAATGAGAAAGGGAGTGAGAGAGAGAGAGAGAGAGAGCGCACGTGCGAGGAGAGCGAGGGGGCGAGAAGGAGGGGATACATAGACAGATGGATGGACAGACGGACATACAGATAAAAAGATAGAGATAAAGAGGCAGAGAGAGATTTGATATATCTCTCTCGCCCGTCATACACTACATTAATCTTTGAAGCAATAACTGTGGCAAGGAACGTGTCATTCGTGACAATCCAGAAAGGACCACCGGGAATGAATATGCAAGAAGCGGAAGATATTCGCCACCGGGAATGAATATGCAAGAAGCGGAAGATATTCGCTGCGTCGAATTGTGTGTCTAATCTGAATTTTGCGTCTAATTTGAATTGTGTGTGACGGAGATGCCTGAACTATTGATTGCCTTGCAGTTAAGAATCCGAAGCACAATGTGCGGCTGCCAGATCGGCGAAAAGTTTCATCCGTTCCCGCAGTATGCCTGCGATGAGGCATCCGGCTGCAATTGCACCAACGCCAACATCATTATCGCTGCCTGCCGGAATTAGGGGGCAGCACTGCAATCGCTCGCTCTGAGAAGAGGAGGTGGCTAGTTGGTTGGCTACTCACTAACGTGGCCGTGACCATAATCGCGTGCATGCATTCCGATCGCATCTACGCGTCGCTTTGCACACACACACATATATATCCCGAAGCTAAACACCACACTACTGTTACGAGTTTTACACATTTACACATGCACGAAGTATTCAATTTACGTTGAACTGACTCCAGTTTGAAGGGATTCAATGCCACGTGATAAAACTCGTCAAAAATCACCATGTAAAACATGTATGCGACCGCATGCACGTAGCAAGCATTGCGAACTAACACACGATCAACGATTTACCTTCTAATATTTGACATCTCATATTTCTTACTTGACTGTCAGCAATATAGTGGCAGCTGCTAGCCGCACGCCCTCTTATAGTGTCAAAGTGGGGTCATCATTGACCAGACAATACATTGATCTAAAGGCGGTATGATCAGATGGGTGCTGTAGCCAGTCATTGCAAATCCTGTGCATGAGATGTAATTAGCCGGTTAACGGCACAAGGTTTCTTTTCCCCAATGTAAAGCTGGGTGGATGACACGACTTTAATGATATATGACACCGTACTTTACGTTTTTGCCACGTGTGTTTTATGTTGTACATTTTTGTGTTGATTTACGGTTACGAAAATAATTCACTATTCTTTTTATTATTTATTACATGAATATGAAAAACCACTTAGATTGTAAGGTATTATGTATATTTACACTCATAATGAATTTTTAATAAAATTTGGTCCTATGTTACAGAAAAATTCACCTAAAATGTTACGAATGTGACAAAACATCTGTACTTCTTCCTGCGTACAACCTTCGCCACAACTTTCTGCTCTCTGCGTGTGCTTCTGCCTTTACATTCTCACACGAGAAATCGATTGCGATCCATCCAGAAAATCGCCACACAACTCACGTCCGAAAATGTGTGCTGCAACATATATGACCAACCCGAAGATCAGCTCACCTTAAAAACAACCCCCACAAATCGTTCTTTCTCTATCTTCGCCGATACACCCCCCACACATTCACTCCACATGTCGTGCCGGTCTAGCCTCTAGGAGGACTTAATAGACTCTGTTGCATCATAGAAATGCCCTCCAAACATCAGGACTTACCATGAATAGATGCTTGTCTTGCCCTCCTCTCCTGCAGACCAGGTCCGTCGACACCTTCGCACTTAGTGCCCGGCCCGTGCCATTCTGTTGACCACCAGGTTGGCGACAGCAGTGCCTCTGCGCGAGAAAAACAGCTATTATGAAGCTCTAGCTTCCCCAAACTACATTCATCATGATTAAAATCCACGGGCTGACTAAATCTGTCATCGACGCCTGTAAAACGGGCAGTTCGCCGTCGGACTCTGCCTGTTTAACATGCGCAGTTGCCATCTCTTCTATTCGTAAACTAGAACTACTAAAAAGATATGTGCAATTGTGCCGAACTTACAATCACATTGCGACGACGAACGCGCATTTTGATGGACAAGATGGCGCCCTCCGCTTGACAGACGGCAGCATTGAAAGACTGACCGGGTATGTTGCGTAACACTATTGCTCTTGGGCTAGTTGCCCTGGTGGTTAGCTTCTCCTCATCACTGGCGGCGCCGTCCACAATTCTGTAGCTTTCCACCAGGCCCATGGCGTCGCGGAACAGGTGGACTATACCAGATGAGCATAGATTCACTGAACAGCATACCAACAAGTATCGTGGATCTGCCCTGCAACGTTGGGAGCCGGGCAGATGCAGTGAAAAATGAATTGAACGAATAATTTCTGCTACTACTGTACACGTAACTAATAATAATACATGATGATGATGCATAATAATAATAACATATCAAAACATTATAATAAATTAATATGAATAATATATTATGATTAATAATTAATTAAATAAACTATGCATAAAACACAAAACACAAGCAACGGAACAACAACAACAGACAACAATAATAAGTAATAATAATAACAGTAAGTACTTCTAAAAAAAATCACAGAACGATCTGTCCAGCGGGACAGAGAGACGCAGAGACGGCTCACTGTTGATGCTGCTGCGAACCGTGAGACCTGCCGAGACGATGAGAGGCGGCGCAGGAAGCTGAGACACGCGCTGAGCTCAAACACCTCCTGTGATGAGCGCTGTATCATCGGCCGCGTCCGATCGAATCTGGCGGCGTCTGGGTCTCGCGCGACCGCACGCGACGCGAGCACGACACAAAACATATATACTAGAGACAGAGACAATTAATATTATTATATTACTATTATCATTGTTAGGACACGAGTTAAGGACACATTGAGCAGCAGATTGTTCATCTTGCAGTTAAAAAAATGTAGCCTCAGCTCTCAAGGAAATGCAAATGAATCGTCAGTTTAGTGGAAACATGCCATAAAATGTGCGCACACAGCATATATGTCAGTGCTGCAGTATTTATTGCCGTCACCAGGTCCATCAACACGGAGGTCCACCACGTTGCGCGAACCACTAAGGTCAAGGTGACGACAACCCGCCCAATGATTCAGACGCGGCTCACCTCTCGTCGTCGAGGAACAGCTCAAGGTCAGCCATCAAGTCGTTGGGCAGCAACAGCAGATGAGCCGAGCGAAGAGTTTGCGAAAGCGGCAAGGACGAGCGCAGGCGGCTTCACAGAGCGGGCCTGCGCGGCCTGATGTTGCCTCCAGGCTCGGACTAAGGAAGTAGAGTAGAGCAATCTGCGCTGCACGCGACCACCTCGTTAAGAGAGACAGGTCTGAAGCACATCAGTAATCACGCGTTCTAATGGTGACTATATACGTGCTGTGCTGGTATGTGGTGGACGGGTGGTATGGTGCTTGCTGCTAAATTCTATTTGCTACTACTGCTGCTGCTGTGCTACTATTACTTACTACTACTATCTCATCTATAAGTTGTTATTATATTTTATTGATATTAATTATCATATCGATTATATAATATTATTCATCAAACTTTTATCTGTCATGATGATAACAGTTGAGAAAACGCAAGCTTATCACTTAGGGAAGAGATTAAACAGCTCTGTAGACAAGTAGTAGGATAGTAGAATACCACCTATACAATGTCCATAACATCATGGTCGCCCGGCCAGGTGTCGAAATATAATCTCATAGCCTTCTAAACTTTATGTGCACATGTACACCTGTACAGCCCAGGAGGCGTGTTGGTGAGCTTCAACGTTTAGTACTGCTCCAGGATTGTCTTTGCTTCTGTCTAAAAACGCTCATCTCACGACCGGAAATGGAATGGTCGTTGGGGAAATGCAATGCATAGCTTGTCAACCAGGGAGCCACCTGGGTCGCAGGAAAACACACACAAAATAGTAGTAATACTAGCTCGTTTAAGCAATGATAAGAAAGAATACGTGTCAACAAATGACACTGCCTTCGATTATCCTCTGAGTGACAAATTTATAAACAGGTTGACTACAGTAAGAATACCAAAGGTGAAAGAATATATATGCATACCTACCGGACAAACATTTTCAAGTCTAATGCTAACCTGCCACACCCAAGATGCATAGTGGATGACTAGTAAGAATTGCAGGCCTTTAAAATACAACCCATCACCACACACACACATCCACCACACACACACGCACGCAGCGAATGCACGCACGCATGCCAAGACGACGCACGCGACGTACGTACACCCACAGCACACAACACACACGCATGCACCGACGACCACAAATGCACGCCGCATGCCGAAGGGACGCGACGTTACGGGCCCACAACACGATGCGGTGGATATTTGAGCACGCTATCATCAAATCATTAATCATTCACATCTATACAAAGCCTGTCATGGGTGACACCTCTGCATAGTCGGAGCCGTTAGACGCAAGCTCTCAACTCCTACACCATACACTCCCGAGCGTTACTACATGGGCGCAACAGGGTCGTAAGACGTCCAATCGCATGCGCATGAGCACGCGAGCACTGCACAGCGAGGTCCATCGGACAGCCACGACAACGACAACGAGAGCTTTTGCGACGTCGCACGTTGCGTACATGTGGTCTCAATGCACGCATAAAGTACACTCATATAGGGCGCTTAGGTTTATACGGAGAAGGTGGTTAAACTTTTAAGTTCGCAGGGCACGAGGGTCTTGGCGAGGGGATGTGCTACTGCAAGTGACGGGCGTGTCTGCCGGCTGCTCATTGGCGTCACCGGCGGACTGATTTCCCGCGCTGGGAACGCAGAGAGTTAGTGGAGGGTCGCCGATGTACTTTCTTATGAGACTAAGCCAGCCGGGGCGCGCTTTAGAGAAATAATACCGCTGGTACTCTTGCCCATCTTGATGGCTGTCCGTCAGGAACTGAGCTATATGGGACGCGTCACTCTATGGCTGACTCGTATTAGTCAACAAAGGCATTAAAAATTGTAAATCACACCAGATTGATAAAGGTCAGAACAACGTTTCCTCTCCACGCTCGCTTCCGTCAAAACGGTGCAAAGCTGAGGGCTGGAGCGCTAGTTCGCGCTTCGAAGTAATAGCCTTTACTGCACGGCGCACGTGCATAAATGATAACTTCAAACAGGTATACTCAGACCCATGAATTAAATATAAAATAATAATAGATGCGGATAGAATTACACGCGGGGATCCACGCTCACATTAGAGAGTAGCTTGCTAAAGATTCTCATATCTCTAGATAGAGCCACCTCTTGCGCCTGCTTCAGCGCGCGACGGAAAAATAGTCATTGTGTCGAGAAATGAAAGTGTGGCACGCCTTATGGTGATACACACCTGCGTACAATGCGATCGACCGTACCCCATAACGAGAATCGCACGTTACGAGGTGAATAGATAGAATCCCTTGCAAGGAAAGTATGGAGAGAAGAGTCTCAGTTATGAACTTTATTAATATCGTGACCAGTGACTTGAGGTCTTGAACTTTGTTAACATATTGTTATTTATAGAATACTCGAACCGTGGCGCAGTTTGGAAGTATCGGCCAACTCTAGAACATATGTAACCTTAATAGCTGAAAATAATGATGACGAAAAATCATCAATTTTATGTAGTATGGTATTCCGCTCAAGCACTCAAGGACGCCACACACATCACATAAACCCACGCCATTACACAACACACAACACACACAAATCAACCAAATAAGCATGTAGCCGATTGGCGTTGAAATAAATAGGTCTATGCTGCGCATTCCGACATGTTTAGTAAATCTTTACTCTAATATAACGGTTTGATCGCAGGGTGGAGCAGAATACGATTTTGCCATTACATAGCAATATTGGCAATGAAATCTTGTAAAACGAACCATGACGCATGTGTGCACCACTCAGGACTGTTTGCTGTTTATATATATATGCTTAATAATTGCCAACCCTCCCCTAATTTGCATAATTTTTTTTTTAATCATCAAAACCCCTAGCGCTTTATCATTCACATACCAAAAATGAGCAAATTCGCGTTGAACCTGAAAGCTGACTAATTGTCGCCTCCCCAAATTCCGATTTTTGCCAAAAATTGCCGTGGCATCGAAAGCTAGTCAACTGGCGTGCTTCAAAATGAGGACGTTTAATATGGGAGCCAGCAGTAAAAACTATGACCCAAATTTCAAAACATTGTGGCCCAAACGGTTCCTTGAGTTTATCGTTGACTGAAGCGAAAAAAATGTTGACGGACAACGGTACGTGACGACGGACGTACGCACCGGACGCGACTCCATGCAATAGCTCAAGCTTGACGATGTCAGGTGAGCTTAAAAAATGAGGAAGAGGAGATGTCAAAGGTAACCTAACTTTTATTACACGAACATATGTATATATGCCTAACACAGAATATACAATATACAAAGAACAAATGGGTAAGACAGCAATGGGCGACTCAAGATTTATGCACAGAAAGCCACAAGAAACGATCGCACACATAAGTCGCACGAGATGCTTCATCAGAAATGGGGCATTTTGGACCAAAATCCATATAAGATTATATAGGATAATATATATAACTAGAGCACTCGGAGAGCACAGACCTCCGCCAAGACAGCTGAATTTTCTCAATGTAATTTTTTTTATTTAATTACATTAATTAATGAAGTGGAAAAATTAATTAGGATAATTTAATTAAATAATTAATTGGATCCGGATTATGGGCCGCAGCGTGGCAGTGGGGAAGGACTGTGTTACCCTTAGCCTGTGCGTGCATGCTTTGTACAGAGTACTAAAGCCAGCGCCACCTAGGCGGGAAGTGACTGAATACGTGCATGTTTAACAAACCACAACACACAAACCAACACGGCAAACACGCACGCGGTAAAAATAAACCCCCGCCAAGCCCTGGCAGGGTAATGCAGGAGTAGTAATGCGAGAGGAGTTTGACAGTATTATGGTACGATTTCGCTACATTTTAGTCGTACGAGTTCGACTCGTGAAAGAATAAAAATCTACAAATGTATAGCAAACAATGAGCTTCTTTTGTTCACGCGTCTTTATTCTATCTTTTCTACCGGGTAATATTACAAACGCGTAGCTTACTTCGTTTTGCTCAATGGCGTACTATTGCACGAACATGGTTTTCACGTTAGTTACCGTGCTGTGGCGATGCAAAGCCCGAAATTCGCCACACCAGCTAAGTTGAAGGCAAGGCGCGCCAAAGCTTCTTTTCGGCCGTTATAGCCTAGTCGGAGTGCCAGAAAATTCGGCGCCTAGAAATTTAAGTTGACATTGGCAGACCAATGCCTGGTTTAAAAGATTAAAACTATTTTACATTTAAACTATATTAGGAATGGCCGTGTTTTATATGTGTTGAAAAGTCCGGCGAGTTTTTTTTTGATAAACGCTGCCGTGGTAGAAATATGCTACTACTTCGACCCGCCGGAGGAATGATGTGTATGAATCGTTATGTGAGTAACTGACGCATCCAGCCGCATTCGTAGGCTTTCTCGCACACTGTGTTTTACATGTTAATATGGACGCAACCGTTAGGTGTAGTCGGGGGTTAGCCAAGCGGGGCTGTTGCACGGGGGGCGCGGCGCGTACAGTGCCGCTGGCGCTGCTTGAGGCGATCCCTGCGTGCCTCCTTCAGTAGGCTGTGGTCGCGAATTTCGGGCTTGCATCGCACACGACGGTAACTAACGTAAAAAACCATGTCGTGCAAAAGATACAATTATGTCAAAACGAAGTAAGCCTACGCGGTTTGTAATACTACCGGAAGATAGAATAAGGACCAGTGAACAAAAGAAGCTCATGTTTGTATACATTTGTATTTTTATTCACATCTAACTCATACGACAAAATGTAGTGAAATCAGTACCAAATACGTGTCAAACTCCTTTGTCATTATTAGCTCCTGATATAATATAATAATAATAAAAATATATAATAGGAAAAAGAGCTTTAAATTTGTGACAGTGCCCCAACCTGGTAGCCATCGATCTCCACGCGCCAGCAGCTGCAATTCTCGCTCCACGTTTCCGTTCTGTCGATGTGAGACTGCAACTGTAGCTGCTCTTGTGTCATTTCCTGAACTGCCTGTTCTAGCTTGCCAATCGTCTGCGATAACGACAACTCAATTTCAATTAAAAATATTTTTTAAGCATGTTAGGGTTTAGTTTAGGGTCTTGCAGTCATTTAAATGAGATTAAAAGTCAGTTAAACATCGCAGGGTTAAAGAGATACATCTGGCCCTCACAACAATCCAGCTGCGACTCTGTCCTGGAGGGTGTGAGAGAGAGTAAGGTCACCTTTGGGTCAGGTCGGTGTGAGTTGCGCAGCGCCTGTAGCGCCCGAGACTTGTTGCGAAATCTCTCCTCCAGGGCTGTCAGCTTGCGCTGGGCGTAGACGCACTGCTGCCCGAGGCTAGGCCCCTCGCTCGCCTGCCGCTCTGAAAAAACCAACGCGAGCCTTAGTGGAACAATTCTGAAAAGTGATCCTGCTTTCGAGTACGCATTGCGTGGAAGGAAGCAAGCTGGAATTATTGTGCGAATAATAAGCGGGTGAAACGGTTCGGTTATACTGCGAGTGGGTGAAATCGCAATTCAGTCAAGGCTGTATATAATGGCCACTGGATTTAAACGGTGAGAGTGGCCTTCACGGACAGGTCGCCGTTCTATCGAGGTGGCCGCTAACACAAGTGTGATTGTACTCGGGTGCACCAATACGTATTAACAGTGAACAGCGAACAGTGCAATTCTCACCCAGTGTACTTCTCGCATTGCTCTCGTCAGCGGCGGCGTCGGGCGTCGCACGCGAGGCTCCGGCCGGATCGTACATGTTGCCGACGTAGCTGTTGTAGACGTCGCTGACTAGGAAAGACGGGTAGAAGCGATCCTCGAGCGTGTCGAACAGCTCCTGCTGAGCCTCGTAGAATCCCTCCGGTCCCTGCGTATAACGGCGTAAATGTGAGAGTATTGCAACATGCGTTATAACGTGCCCAGTAGGTGGCGCTAACTACTTCACCGAAGCCAGTGATGAACACCAACGTCACAGCCTGGACTGGGGTGGAATAAATTCGATGTTCGTATCATATAGTAAACGTTGCTTCTTCAGTCTTTACTTTGGAAATACAACAGTAAAGGAAGCAGGTGAGCAAACATGGCCGACGTAATGAGTCACCACATATGACAGAATCTAGTTCTGAATTGAGATATGGCACATGACCATTGCACAAATGTACACACGATCGAACCTGCGTATGACCCGTACTCAAGAACACACGAAAAGTGGTCTTTGTGAGTAGGATAAGTTGATGTCAGGTAACTTTGTGTCAATGGCAAACAGCATAAAAACGTGTTTTCCCAGCCAAAATCTGATCGCCTTGGAAAGACACCCACGATACGAGGACGAGTGTCCTGGTGAAAAGGTCTATTGTATATTAAACTCTATAAGCCATCTCAAATAAATGTAATCTATGGATTGCATTAACTTTTCTATTCTTGTCCCAATGTTTCTAAAATCTCTAATTGACAAATTAAATCCATATAGGTGTGACCTGCAACATTACAAATACCTTGTCAGCAACAAGAAATGCTTCCATGTGCTTAACAATAGCACGATCTAACTTCACTGCACTGCTGCTGCTGCTCAACAGATGGCGTTGGTAGAGCTCTGTGGCCACTCCATGCTGTTTGACCTGAAATAGGGCTATCCATGCATCATTGTGACAACTTAATTTACTATGCCTAACCTACCCGTTATTGTAATTGACTACAAACTCTATCACAAAGAGTATCACAATTCTTTCACTTGAAATTAAACTCGTTTCTTAGAATTTGGTGCATTTGTGTATATTAGAATAGAGAATCTTTCATATAATCATTACTAGTGCGTTCAATTTGCTTCCCCAGAGCCACCTGGGTTAATCTGGGTACGAAATCGAACGCATCTGGGTTAGGGAAGATAAACGAACGGTTTTTGGGTTAACCCGGGTTAATTATCATAGATGCCGTTAACAAGAAAAAAAGAATAGCAATTGCAATCTTATTATTAATGAAATCTAAGAATGAGCGGCTCAAGGATAGAGAGCATGTCCAGTAAAAAACATCATCTTATCCAATCACCGTCCTTGAGCAAACACACGCAGTCATTCACACTGCTACATTCATGCAGCACTGATCCCGCACTGATATCGTCGCCATGCATGGTGTCGTTGCAATGGATTGTGGGATACTTCCCCAAGCCCCCCCCCAAGTGAGCACCTCGGCGAGCCGCTCACTTCGTCCTCACCCGGGTTGACCCGGGTAATGCAAAAATACCACGTGACTGCCAAATCGAACGTATTTGGGGCTGGCCCGAGTAGACCCAGGTTAACTTGGGGAAGCAAATCGAACGCATTATACAAGATGCAGCGGACCCGAGCACCAACTCACTTTTGGCGAGGATCTCAGTTTCTCGACACCTTCCCAGAATTCTAGCAATGACTCGAGGCCCGTTCTCTGTAAATACTCGAGGAATGCCTTTCTCCCCTCTACTGTCTCCATGATGGCAGTGAAGGATAGTGCCTGTGACGAGAATGCATCCAAGCAAATCATACATCACATCAAAAGTAGATGAGGGAAGAATTTCGTTTCTTATCTATTTTTAACACATCTAAATTATATATTGATATATTATATATCTAATACATATTTGTGGAAGTTTCTCTGTTCGTCTGTTCTCGATTCAAATCAATATCGGCCACTCTATATATGTCCAAGGATGGCCATTACATGCAACTTTGGATACATTGGAACATGGGCGCATTGGATTTGACCTCCGAGGTCATCTGACATTGCAAAACAAAACAAGTGCCGAGGAGCGACAGCGCTCATCTAGCATCTACTGCGGTGACTCTGTGGTGGAGTGGTGGGATTCTAGTAAACCCTGCTAGTCCCAAATGTGTTCACATACGCGCCAAAACAGTGGAAGGCACAGGGATGGTATCAGGAACCTTCTCAAAGAAATGTTCGTTGGAATCTTTATGAAAGTTGCCACGAGATGGCACGTACGTTTAAGTGTCTTTAGATTAAAGATGGAAGCTCCCATCGTACGTAGTAGCAACAACTATTTGCAAGACAGAATAGGTAAGCACTCATCCATTTACCTACGCAAGCCTACAGGTTGAAATAGAGAGCTACCACCTGTAACTAATTAACACAGGCAAAAGCTACACAGTACTATTGCCACTACATGCACTGGCAGTGGCATAAGTTACATGTAACACACTGACAGTACAGAATGCCATAGAAATTATACGATTTAAGGAGCATAAACCTTCTTCAACTCCACTTAGATTGTAAGGTATTATGTATATTTACACTCATATGAATTTAATAAAAGTTGGTCCTATGTTACAGAAAATCACCTAATGTTACAAATTGACAAAAATTGTACTTCTTCCTGCGTACAACCTTCTGCACAACTTCTGCCTCTCTGCGTGTGCTTCTGCCTTTACATTCTCACACGAAAAATCGATTGCGATCCATCCAGAAAATGCACACAACTCACGTCCGAAAATGTGTGTAACATATATGACCACCCGAAATCAGCATCACCTAAAACACCCCCACAAATCGTTCTTTCTCTATCTTCGCCGAGTACACCACCCACACATCTCACTCCACATGTGTGCCGTTCTAGCCTCTAGGAGATTAACTAGACTCTTGCATCTATAAAGATGCCCTCCAAACATCAGGACTTACCATGAATAGATGCTTGTTTGCCCTCCTCTCCTGCAGAGCTTCGAACACCTTGATAGTGCCCTGCCGTGCATTCTGTTGACCCACCAGGTTGGACAGTGCCTCTGCGGGAGAAAACAGCTATATGAAGCTCTAGTTCCCCAAACTACATTCAATCAGATTAAAATCACGGTGCGACTAAATCTGTCATCGACGCGGTAAAATCGGGCAGTGCGTCCGACTCTGGTTTAACATGGCATATGCCATCTCTCTATTCGTAAAACTAGAACTACTAAAAAGATATGTCAATTTCCGAATTCCAATCACACTGCGACGACGACGCGCATTTGATGACAAGTGGCGCCCTCGCTTGACAGACGGCAGCATTGAAAGACTGACCGGGTATGTTGCGTAACACTATGGCCTTGGCTAGTGCCCTGGTGGTTAGCTTCTCCTCATCACTGCGTGCCGGTCCACATTCTGCTAGCTTTCCACCAGGCCACATGGCGTCGCGGAACAGGTGGATATACCAGATGAGCATAGATTCACTGAACAGCCAACCAACAGTATCGTGGATCTGCCTGCAACGTGGGAGCCGGCAAGATGCATGAAAAATGAATTGAACGAATAATTTCTGCTACTACTGTACTACTACTAATAATAATAATGATGATGATGATAATAATAATAACAATATCAATAAAAACATTAATAATAATAATAATGATAATAACAACAACAACAACAACAACAACAACAACAACAACAACAATAATAATAATAATAATAACAGTAAGTATTCTAGAAAAAAATCACAGAGATCTGTCCAGCGAGAGACGCAGAGACGCTCACTTGTTGATGCTGCTGCCGAACGTGACCTGCACGAAGACGATGAGAGTGCGGCGCAGGAAGCTGAACACGCCGCTGAGCTCAAACACCTCGCTGATGAGCGCGTACATCGGCCGCGCGATCGAATCTCGCTCCTGGTCCTCCCGACCACTGCACGCACGCAGCACACACAAACATATATTACTAGAGACAGAGACAATTAATATTATTATTATTACTATTATCATTGTTAGACACGATAAGGACACATTAGATCAGAGGTTCATCTTGCAGTTCAATGTAGCTCAGCTCTCAAGAAATGCAATGAATGTCCAGTTTAGTGGAAACATGCATAAAATGTGGCACACACATATATGTCAGTGCTGCATATTTTCTGGGTCACCAAGGTCATCAACACGGAGGTCACCACGTTGCGCGACCACTAAGGTCAGGTGACCGACAACCCGCCCAATGATCACGCGGCTCACCTCTCGTCGTCGAGGAACAGCTCAAGGTCAGCATCCAAGTCGTTGGCAGCAACAGCAGATGACCGAGCGAAGAGGTTTGCGAAGCGGAAGGACGAGGAGGCGGGCTTCAGAGCGGGCTGCGGCGGCCTGATGTGCTCCAGGCTCGGACTAAGGAAGTAGTAGAGCATCTCGCTGCACGCGACCACCTCGTTAGAGAGACAGGTCTGAAGCACACAGTAATCACGTTCTTAATTACTACTACTACTGCTGGTGCTGGTTGTGGTGGACGTGGTGGTATGGTGCTGCTGCTAATTCTATTGCTACTACTGCTGCTGCTGCTGCTACTATTACTACTACTACTATTATTATAATTGTTATTATTATTATTGATATTATTATCATTATCATTAATAATATTATTCATCAAACTATTTATTTCATGATGATACATTGAGAAAACGAAGCTATCACTAGGGAAGAGATTAAAACAGCTTGTAACAAGTATAGGATAGTAGGAATACCACATTAAATCCATAACATCATGTGGCAGTGTCGAAATATAACTCATAGCCTTCTAAACTTATGTGCACATGTACACTGTACAGCAGGAGGCTGTTGGTGAGCTTACGTTTAGATACTGCTCCAGGATTGTCTTTGCTCTGTCTAAAAACCGCTCATCTACCGACCGGAAGGAGGTCTTGGAAATTGGCAATGCATAGCTTGTCAACCAGGGAGCCACCTGGTCGCAAAAACACACACAAAATAGTAGGAATACTAGCTCGTTTAACAATGATAAGAAAGAATACGTGTCAACAAATGACACTGCTTCGATTTATCCTGAGTGACAATTATAAACAGGTTGACTACATAAGAATACCAAAGTGAAAGAATATATATGATACCCACCGGACAACATTTTCAGTCTAATGTAACATGCCACACCCAAATGCATGTGCATACTAGGTAAGAATTGCGGCTTTAAAATACAACCCACCAACGCACGCACGCACGTAAACGCACGCACGCATGCAAGAACGCACGCACGTACGTACACACACCCACACACACACACACGCATGCACGCACGCAGCCAAAATGCACGCACGCGATCGCAAGACTCACGGACGCGCACACCACACGGATGCACGCACAGCAACACACACGCGCATGCTCTACGCACGGCACACACAGCACACAACAAACACACACACACAACACACCACACACAGCAACACACAGCACACGCGCGTGCGAGTGCATGCACGCACTAGCCACAGGCTAGGCTTACCGCACACCGACTTGCCTAACGCAGAGCGGCGCTGCGGACTCACGCGACTCGATGCTGTGGAGGGTTTTGAGGTCGCCGAGATTGTCGCGAGACGACCCAGCCGGCGTCTGGTTGTGCCGTTCGCCGTTGTCCGTCGTCGATTCGACGGCTTGCCCGGACAAGAACACCATATGGTAACAGTAAGGAACACTCCTGCCCTCTCGTCCTGAACGACGTAGATGCGCGAGAAACCGCGCAAAGAAATAAAATCAAATATATAATAATAAAGAAAGGTAAATAAAACATAACAAATAGATGGATACATAATACCACGGCGGATATCAACGCTCACATTAGAGAGTACTTGTAAGCACTCTCATATCTTAGATAGAGCACCAGCTCTGCGCTTTCAGCGGCGCGGACAAAAAATAGCATTGTCACGAAATAAAAGGTGTCATATGACACTGTAGCTCGCCACAAAAATAGGACACACAAATATAAGTGAGTAAGAAGAAGCTCAGTTTAATTGAGCACCATGTCAGACGTACATATAGAAACGTATCTGCCATGCTGTTATATCGCAATAATAATTTATAGAAACCAAATGAATCACATTGTGACCCGTGAGATGGCCTTACGCTATCCCGCTTTGTGCGTATGGCGTTTGAAATAAATACGGTTTATGCTGCATTCACCGACATTTTTTGTAAATCTTGTTACCTGATAGACGTTTTATCGCCAGGTGGAGAGGGAATAGACCATTTGCATTAAAGCATATGTCAATGAAATCTTGTAAAACGAACCAGTTGAGTGGTCTGACACCACAGACTGTTTGTGTTTATATAATATGCTATAATTAATTGCCAAACCCCCTATTGCATTTAATTTTTTTTTTAAGATATCAAAACCCCTAGCGTCTGATTCCATTCACATACCAAAAATGAGCAAATCCGTTTGAAAGCTGACTACTAAGGGCAATTCCCATTTTGCCAAAAAATTTGCGGTGGATCGAAAGTACGTTCAACTGGCCGTGGCTTCGAAAATAGGAACGTTTTAATATGGGAGGCGGATAGCAGGTAATCAAACTATAACACCAATTTCAAAATGTTGCGCCAAACGTTGTCCTGAGTCGTACGTTTGATCCTGAAAGCGAAATGTTGACCGGACGGACGGACGGCCGTACGTACGAGGGCGACGACCCAGTGCAATAGCGCTCAGCTTGACGATGTCAAGGTAGGCTAAAAATGAGGAAGAGGAGATGTCAAAGGTACCTACTTTTATTA